GGAAATATAATCAATAGAAAATATCATATAATATGTTTTAATAATTAACACTATTTATTTTCTTTTTTAAAAGAGAAATATTTATAAATATATACTTAATCCACCAATCTTAAAGTTACTTTATTTGAATAAAATCTAAACAGTTGTTATTTCTAAAAAAAAATAATATAATTTGTAGTTAAAAATAAATAATGCAACAGTATATATAATATAGTTTTTGATTTAGTTTTATTCTGCTTTTGTAAAAGGCTTCAAAAATTAATTATTGTATTTTTCTTATTTATTTAATTGAAATAAACTATTATTGGATCTGAGCGTATACTCATTTAATTAAGTTAATTTATGAAATGAGAAATAGTCAAGTAAGTAATGATTGAATTCTTTAATTTCTTCTCTCTGTTTCTTTCTAAGATTTTATTCCTTGTTTAATTTATAATTAGAAAAACTTTCTAGAAAATATTAGAAGTTTTTATTTGAGACTATTGCAGATTAAACCTTTATCGAGATTTATAATTATATATAATTTTGTAATTAATTATGATTTCAATAAAACATTTGGTTGGATTCACTTTTATAATCTGAATATATATGAATTTTACAAAAAATATGTGTTTAAAAAATGTTGTTATCTGGAAGTGGATTAAATTTTCCGCATTAAGCTCTAGAAGATATCCATTAATTAACTAAAAATATTTAAGACACTTCTCTCAAATTTACCTTAAATTTCACAAACTAGGTGGTTAATATGCTTAGCATGAATTAAATTTCTAGAAAAAATTATAAAATAAACTGATCAAATCAATTCCAGCATATCCCAACTTTAATTCCAAAGTTAAAATTTAGCTTTTGTCTATGTTTAATGTTTTGGATTAATTGTAAAAGATATTTTATTTATGACATAACCAAACATTAGTTGACTAATTTTGATAATATTTTATTTAAGTATAATTTATGCAAAAAAATAACTTTCATTCTGGGGGAGTATTAATAATAGTTAAATATAAGTTATAAAATAAATATGTCTATCACAAGGAAAACATCAAAAAATGATGATTTCATTTATTTAAATTAGTCACAAACATCTTTTCTATATATCACTATTTATATATCAAATTCTATCAAAATATTAAAAATTGCTTATCTTATATCCTGATTATACAACCAAAGTATTTGAAATTTTTTAGAACAACAATATATTTTAAAATGTTTTATGTTATCATCATAGAAGTTATCATAAAATTTTATTGACTTAGAATAATATATTTTTATAAAACAAGCCAAGGCTCTCATAGTTTGAGCGATAGTATATAAATGAATTAGAATAATAATTTTCTAAAATTAAATTTATAATATCTAAGGTTGGAATATTGATAATTTTGACAATGCTTAAATTTGATTTCAATTGCCATAAATAATATAATTCAAAGACTACAACTATATTTAAAGTAGATAAAATCATCATCTAGTATCACTCGTGAAGAAAATACATTTTTGCAATGCATATTTATATATTTCCGATTCATAAACACAAGCGGGTATCTTTCTAAAGAGTGTAAAATCAAAATAAGTAGCTAATTCAATTAACTAAAAAAATTACTTCCAATATAACTATGAAGAATATAAAGTTAAATCAAATCAATAGGGTTAATTATCTATAGATTAATAAAATAATTATGAATGGAAAATTAAATAGGCAATAACAGCAGTAAAAACTACTTGATTTTGTTAAAAACTCTAATATAAATATAGGTTTAAAAAAAGATTAAAGAGTTAGGAATGTATAAAAAATTAAAAATTAATAAGTTTGTAAGTGTAAATTTTGTAGAAAGATTGGTACACTCAACATGATAAAATTGCAGTAGAAATGTGTTAATTATGCTGAAGAGAATCGATTTGTAAGTATCCATATCTCATGAGGCAAATATCAAAAAAAAAAGAGAATTATTATTGGTAGAAATTGATGAAACTATGTAAATATAACTAAGATTGATATCTAATGCTGTTTATCACATCAGAAAAAGTTTGTTAAGATTTCAGGGAAAAATAATTAAAATGAAGGAGTAACTCAATATGGGTAATTAAATCAGAAAATGGAAAGTTTTCAAGGAAGCAGCAGAATAAAATGTTAAGTCCATCTACGTGCAATGAAAAACTCAAGAGAAAGATAAAAATGAAGTCAGTAGTTTGATGAATTTAGTTTAATTTCATGATAGGAAAGAGATGAGAATGAAATATTATTAGATAAAAAGCAAACAGTATTATTAATTAACGGGCTAGCTGAAGCAGGCAAAAGTACTCTAGCCAAGAAAATTTAAGAGTTTATTTGGAAATTAAATGATAGTAAAAAAAAATTGGTAATTATGTACTAATACCTGTTTATATTTCAGACCTACTTGAAAGAAACAGGTTTTTTTAAGCAGTAGACGAATCTACCATCAAGATGATTATGGGTTTGAAGATCTCTAATTAAATCTAGCTTCCCAATTTTGACTAAGCTTAACAATAAGAATATTAAAAGAAATTCAATATTGAAATTATTATAATGTAGATTTGTGATATATCAAAATGATAAGTTTATCCGTAATGCCAAAACCTATTGAGATCAAAAGGTTTGAACTGAGTTGGGAATAATTGAAGTCATCGATTGCTAAATTTCATAAATCAAAGTTGAGATTTGGGACTAATTTAGATGAAAATAAATAGAAGGCATTTATTATTTTTGAAGGAAGATGATTTCATTATTTTAAAAAGCAATGAAGCTACAAAATGCTCGAAAATAAATTTACATAAATATGAAGCTTTGAAAAGTATGACAGTATAATGAGGTAGGTAATCTAAATAATTTGGTGGGAATTCCTTATTTGAAGGAAATAAAAGTTTAAGAGTTGCCAAAAATGATAGTTAAAGCAACTAAGATTATTAGCATTAAATAAAACAACTTGAAGAAGTTTACAAAAATGTTAAAGAGTTCTTTATCAGTAAATACATGATTCAGATGTATAATTCGCAATAGCAAAAAAATCTAATGGGGTTAATAAATGAAATTAAAAAAGAAGTAAGTTATAATAAAAAAAATAAAAAAAAGGTGAAAAAACCTAAATAATTTTTAGAACTACACTCCAGAGGAGGTATTAGACTTGGAAATAATTGATTACTATCAAATTGCTTTTGAAGTGTGGAATAATTTGATTCTTTTATAAAAGTAAATCATTTAAGAATTAGATGGACTATACAAAAAACTTTAAACAATATTTGAAACTGATGCTATTCTACCAAATTAAAAAACATTTTAATTTAAAAGGAAAGAATAATCTATGTTGTTTTTGATGCATTAAAATTATTCAATCTAACAGATTATGACCTTTATTGCGAGTTTATCTATTATTACATTTGAAATAACTCGAATACACGAAAATTAGAAAAATCTATGGATATTGATCGTTTTCTGCATGATTTATTAGAGTAATCAAATGGCAAGAACAATGTGTAAAAATTTAATGACTAAGTTTAATAAAAGTAGCTAGGATTTTTCAAAAAAATGAAAAAAAAGAAAAACAATAACTAAATGAATTTTTAATGATGATGATTAATATGGGGCTTATAAAAAAGATATTAAAAGCTTTTCACTTGTCTTACAACAAGTATAAAAGTTCTTTATCGCCGCTGATTTATATCAAGTCTTAAAGTGTTAGTTGAATTTAAAGATTTTGAATACTATGATAGAAATGTTATCAAAAGAAAATAATAAACTGTTTAAAGTTTCTGTCAAATGTATATGAAAATATTTAGAGAATTATAACAAATTTGGGAATTTATCACCTTTTGAAAAAAAAAATTAGATACTTTTTAAGTGATTATTAATTAAATTACTCATTTGATCAAGACCATTAAAGAACACGATATTAATTCTGTTAATTATTCGACTAATATCTATACGGAAACATGATAATAATTCTTTTATAAAATATCATAAGAGGATATGGTTTAATTTTTGAAATTCTTAATTCATCTCACTAAGACAGATAATCATTTTATAATAAGTGGATCTAATGCATTAAATATATTGATTGATCTAAAAAATAAAATTTGAATATTTCAGAATTAAAAATACTTGTGTATTTGGAGATAATTGTGCAAAACTTAAAATGGTTGGTTTGTAATTGGAAAAATAAAAAATAAACGATTTATATAAATTAAATGGTCTTACTAGTAATGTATAATCAGTCTATTACTCTATCCGTTTATGGGATGTAATAAAAAGCAAAATTGGATGGTCATACTAACTATGTCTACTCAGTCTGTTTCTCTCCTGATGGAAATACATTAGCTTCTGGTAGTCATGATTAGTCTATCCGTCTATGGGATGTCAAAACAGGATAATAAAAAGCCAAATTAGATGGTCATAGTAGTGCTATTATGTCAGTCTGTTTCTCTCCTGATGGAAATATATTAGCTTCTGGTAGTAATGATTAGTCTATCCGTCTATGGGAAATCAAAAAAAAGTATTGTTCAGATTATAGATTTAAAGAAATTTAGGTTAAAAATATAAGATATCCTTTTTTTAACACCCCTTTGCAGTAAAAGAATATTATTTAAAATTTAGATTCATCTAATATTATGGTTTACCCAGACTTCAATTTTTCAAGGTTTAAGAGAGTTTTTTTATAAAAAACCGTTTCCTTTTAGGAGAATTATTGGAATAATTTCTTACCATAACACTTGATTAATTTAAAAACTAACCTATATTAACCCTTAATTTAACTCTATTTTAATATACTTCTTGTGTTGATAGAGTTCTAATTTATAGTTTTTTTCTTTTTTAACAATCTTGAAGCATTACTAAAATGGAAATTAATTTAACACATTTTAAAATATTATGAAATAGAACTATTAGTTGCATGAATGCAATAATATCTTAAATCTTTGTATACTTTTTTTTTGGTATTATTCTTATCATAACCAAACATTTTCTCTCAATTTAGAATGTGAATAGTACCAGATTTATAAAGTAGATTCTACAACTAAATCTTTCAGCATTTATCATTTCTAAGTTTTCTAATCTTCGTATTTCTCAAGAGTTGATATATTCTAATATTCCTATTATTTTTATTAAATTGATTTTATAAACTTTAAATTTTAACAATGTTATTGAAAGATTTGTTTTTGGATATTTAAGAGAAAATACCCATGCATTTAAGTGTGACTAAAATGAATGCTTTTTTATATATATATCTAAATAATTTTTCGGTCCAATTTATCTTAAGAGGTTGTTATAGAGAAGAAAAAATTTTATTAAGATTATCCATTATGAATACCAATAATTATTTCCTTTTAATTCTAAAAAATTAGGTGCAATTTCTTAATTTAATTGTAAAATATAACCATTTAATGAGTTTTTAAATACATAAGAGATATTATTTTTTCAAAAGATATTAATTAATTTTGTAAAAATCATTTTGAATAGAGAGTAGTGCTAAAATTAAACAATATGATATTGTTTTAACTTTGTTATATAGTTTAGATTATATTCTAAGATTAACTTTATTTTTTAATTCTTTTCATATTTTTTTATTATTATCTTTGTTATGAAATATATCTTTTATTATTTATAAACTAATTTTACAAAATTTTTAATTATATCTATTAAGACTTATGTTTATAAATAGTATAAATTAAATAAATTATCAGAATATCTTATGAAATAATCATGCAGTTTTTTGTTTAGCTAGGTTTAAATTAAGTAATTAAAATCAATATTTATTTTAATCTCTTCATTTAGCTTATTGTTTTTTGTTTGGATTATTAATTTAATGTAGTATCATTTAACATTAAATCTCTATATATGTTAATTAATATCAGTTTTTTTTAAGGAGACTTAATAAATATACCCTACATTTCCTTAAAATGGAATACTTTTGCAAAATATGTATGAATCTTAATAAATCAAAATTAAGAATATAGCCAAAAAAAGATATAATTAAAAAATATGAAGAATGAATTAAAATAATAATTGTTGTAATGTTCTTTATGAATAACAAATATCACTTTTACTTAAGGTCTTCCAAAAAGCAACTTCCTTTTTGTTTAAACAATGTCTTTAAATCAATTCCTGATTAATTGATAAACTCTCCTCTCAAAATTAGTGCTCCTTATGCTTAAAATATAGCCTATTAAGATATAAGGAGTGTAGTGATGTAATTGGATGCTAAAATATCAAACAAAATTAATATTACCTTCTTATATTGCACTATTTTATTAGAGCGGAATTTTTAATTATGCAAGAATATCTTTGTAGTTTTTATC